AAGACTTTCCCGCCTTACTTTAGCCGTAATCTTAATCCTCAAGCGAATTGGCGAAATTTCAATTCTTACGGCTAAAAACTTAAGGCTTACAGTTGAGCTTGTTATGATGACCAATGAAAAGCGAGACAAAAGTATGCAGATATTAAAACATGGTAGTTGACGTTGACAGTCTTTCATGATGGATCCGAACGTTGATATAAAAAAAAGTAATTTAAAAAAGTAGTAAACAAAAGTAGTTGTTACATTCTAGTAATATACTCCTTATCTGCTTTCTGATTGGTTTTTTGTAATCATTAAGACTTAAAACTTTGAGTTTCCAAAGTTTATTGTAGACACTACAACTTAACAGCTTATGCCTTATACTTACAGCTTAAGACTTAAAGCTTAAGTCTTACGGCTTAAATTCTCATTGTAGACGACGCATAAGGTAACTTTTGCTGAAAATTTTGAGCTTATTTCACTCGACGTGGTATCTCTTTTCACTAACATTCCTATTGAACTTGTAATTAGTGGTTTGGAAAAGAGATGGCATTTAATAACACATAATACTAATTTACCTAAAGAAGAATTTTTTCTAGCAATCAATCTTGTGTTCAACTCTACTTTTTTTCGTTTTAATAACAAATATTACAAACAGACCTTTGGTGCTCCTATTGGTTCTCCACTCTCTCCGATCCTTGCAGACATTGTAATGCAGGATCTTGAAACATCCATTTGTGAATCTCTCTCTTTCCATCTACCTTTACATGTCAGATACGTCGATGACATAGCTCTCATGGTTCCTAAAAAGCAATTTGATGCTGTTTTAAATCTTTACAATTCTTATCACCCATGCCTTCAGTTCACTATGGAGGTTGGTGGGGATAGACTTAATTTTTTAGACATCACTATTATTAAAAATAATAACAAATTAATACACGACTGGTATCATAAGCCAACGTTTCCTGGTAGATACCTGAACTATTTTTCTAACCATCCTATTTGCCAAAAAAAAGAGGCACGATCATCAGCCTCGTAGACAGAGCCTTCTTTTTATCACATCCTAGATTCCATTCCAAAAAGTTAGACTTTATTTTTAATTTATTAATTGACAATAACTATCCTATGGACTTCATATATGATAATTTTATTCTTAGACTAAAACAGAATTTTTATAAAAATAATGACAAAAAGGTTTTTGTCTAGCAAATGTTCTAATGACATACAACGTCACTGGTTTGTCTTGCCTTACATCAATAAATATTCGGAGAGATTTTCAAAAATACTTCCTTCAGAATCACATACGCGTTTAGCTTATTACAATCTCGACAAACTGGCTAAATTTATCGAAGTTCTTAAGGATCCTTTGCCCCTTCTCTCACATCCTTCGATAGTATACAAGATCAAGTGCCGTGAATGTGAAGCTTCGTATGTAAGACAAACTGGTAGAATGTTACAAACCAGAATTAAGGAACATAAAAGCCACATTAATAGAAATTCCACTCAAAAATCTGTTATAACTGAACACAGATTGCAATACTCACATGAATTTGAGTGGGACAGAGTAGAAATATTTGATTATGATAGATCTTACAGCAAAAGATTGGTATCAGAAATGCTACATATAAGAAGTCAAGTCTGCGGACTTAATCTACAGTGTGACACGGAAAATTTAGACAATTCATATTTACCGTTTGTCGATAAGACATCATAAAGTGTTATGTTATTTGTAGATTTTACTTCTATCTTTATACACACGTTTGTTTCTCAGTCGCGTATTCACTTTTGTAAAGTGTTGGTCGGGACGGCTTGTGCGACATGGACATCCAAGATCAGCACTCAGCGACATATAATAGCTAAGATTTTTGTAAGTGACTTTGTATATTGTTTTATTCTGCGATTCTTAATTAATTATTTTCAAATTTCATTTATCGGATTCTATCTTAATTCTTTGTAAACATGCATTTGATAAGGACCTAATAGAAAGGTCAAAAACGTTTATGCTATAGTTTTTTAATAAACGGATTAAAATAAATACACACTCCAAAAACTGTGTTTTGCTTCAACAGCCAAAAAATTCATTTGTTCATTAAAAAATTCCTGAAGCTACATACACTCATCTTTACATAAAAATCATTGGCATTATAAGCTAGTGCTTTACATTGTATATGATAGTCAATTGTATCTATGACACCTGGAATACTACAGGAACGCGCTGGTATGGAAGATCTAAAAAATAAAATATTATTTAATAAGATATTATTTATGGAAAGCATTATTTTTTATACTATACAAAAGTTTCTACTCTTGTTACTGTGCTATATTAAAGTATTATTTATAGTACACTAAATGACATGTTGCATTTGCTTATATCTAACCATACAATATAATTAGATATTAAATCAGTTAATACTGAAATTTCTTTCAATATACCGTGTTCTACTTTTATCTATATTGAATCTATTGCCTGCAGCCAAATAACTTTCTTGTTTTGCTACAATTTAAATCGTGAATAATACTTTTTTAGTCACATCAACTGATCGGTTACGATTTTTTACCATAGCATTGCCAAAATATTAATATATATATATATATATATATATATACATATATTTACTACTTCCTATAACAATAAATAAATATAGTCATAAGAGCCGTTTGCAGGATGTTGTGCGGAAATATACATGTATATATATGTGTACATACATATATATATACGTGTTTACATGTAAATTCATACACGTGAGTTTTTTGAATTCAAATTTCAATTCTTAAAATCATATAGGATGCTATATTTGCATTACATATATGAGACGCCCCGTATATTCCAAGTTCGACTTTTGGCTGAGTTTTTTGATATACGGGCCTCTCACATATGTGATACAAATCTAGCATTCTATATGATTTTAAGAATTGAAATTTCAATTTAAAAAACTAACGTGTGAACACGTATATATATATATATATATATATATATATATATATATATATATATATATATATATATACACACGCATATTTCCGCACAACATCCTGCGAGCTGCTCTTATGACCGTATTTATATTTTCTCAGTTTAAAAACTTTCAGAACCTAAGGATTCTTTATTAATTAATAACTACCCCGATAGCCAAATGATAGCAATATGCCTGCAGTATGCACGCAAGTTTAATCAGCACTTTGCAGCAGATTCCACTCAGCTCTGTGTCATTATAGTAAGTGAATTATATAGGCACGATATGTAAAGAAAACAACACAAAACTATAGAAATAAATGAAGAATGAAAAGACAATAGCACGTTATGCTTCAAATCTGTTACATTTTTTGAGCAAGTTCTGCTTGATTGATGCAATACTATTTGCATCACGGCATGATACATTTATATTTTCTTTTTTTCTGTTTTTCTGCCGACACTAGTTGAAAACAGATTATGTTTGAATGTTGGCTACATTGTATTGGCATAATGTGTTATTGCAGATTTTGCAAAATATACTAACTCAGTCTTGGTTATCTGGGTAAGTACATATGATATTTACCCAGGTAATCAAGACTGAGTAATCATATTTTGCAAANTCTGCAATAACACATTATGCCAGTACAATGTAGCCAGCATTCNAACATAATCTGTTATTTCAACTAGTGTCGACAGAAAAACAGAAAAAAAAGAATATAAATGTGTTATGTCGTGATGCAAATATTATTGCATCAATCAAGCAGAACTTGCTCAAAAAATGTAGCAGATTTGAAGCATAACGTGCTATTGTCATTTCATTCTTTATTTATTTCTATATTTTTGCTGTGTTGTTTTCTTTACATATTGTGCCTACATAATTCACTCACTATGATGACACAGCTGAGTGGAATCTGCTGCAAAGTGCTGATTAAATCTGCGTGCATACTGCAGGCATACTGCTATCATTGGCTATTGGAGTAGTAATCCAGATAATCAAGATTGAATGAGCATGTTTTGCAAAGTCTGCAATAACATGTTAGCCAGTAGAATGCATCCAGTATTTAAACATAATCTGTTATTTCAAGTAATGTCGACAGAAAAGCAGAAAAAAGAGAATATAAATGTGTCATGCCGTGATGCAAATATTATTGCATCAATCAAACAGAACTTGCTAAAATAAATGTAACAAATTTGATGCATAACGTGCATCAAATGCATTGTCTTCATTTCTTTCTATATTGTCACTGTGTTGCTTTTCTTGCATATCGTGCCTACACAATTCACTCATATGAGGACACAGCTAAGTGAAATCTGCTACGAAGTGCTGATTAAACCTCCTTGTATACTCCTGATATACTGCTATTATTTGGCTATCTGGGAAGATACATAATAAAAAATGTAAAATAAAATGTATATTTTATACGATATACATTTAGAATACATTTACTCACACCTATAGCTGTTCGAGACATCCTGAAGTGTTCTTTCAATAAAGAGTTATTATATAATAGAACTATTTCTTCGTAATAAATTACATTTTTTGTCGTATGCCACGTTTGTGTAAATTATTCGGCAGCAACTGATTTAACTCTTCTTCAATTAACAATCTGATAAAATTTTTTTGTACAATATTATTATCTAATAATTTGACAATTATCAGATTGTTGAAATTCATTATTATATTACGATATGTATTAATATTAAGCACTTTACAATGAGTTCAATAACTTTTTGTTTAAGTGGTTAGTTATTCAGTAGTTTTGGTTATGTTTTTAATGTTACATGTCACACTCTGAACGCAGCCATAAGAAGCGTTCAGAAAAATATTTCTTGCTAGAGAGAAGACTGAGACTGCGTTCCGAGTTACGCATATGCACGTATTTATCTATAGTATACGTAACGTGTACTATAGATAAATGCGTGCATATACGTAACGTGTACTATAGATAAATACGTGCATATGCGTAACTCGGGACGCAGCCTGAGAGCGGCCATCCTATTAGGCGATTTTTGGCGATCGTATGGTACATGTACCAAAGTGTACCAAACTATAATTTGAAGTCACTCAAACTATAGTTTGGTACACTTTGGTATGGCTGCGGTCCGTTTCATGCTTAAGCGCACATTTATCTATAGTATACGTGACATATACCACAGATAAATGCACGATTAAGCATGAAACGGACCGCAGCCTATATGTACCATACGATCGCCAAAAATCGCCTATTGTAATTTCTTACGACGGTTTTAGCCCTATATCATAAAAATGGATCTCAAAGGCCGTTCTACATTAAACGCAAGTCGCAGGTCTCGTGGAATTGATCAATCACGGTCGATTGGCTGATTTGAGTATGCAATTAGTCAAAATTCCACGAAATCTGCGACTTGCGTTTAATGTAAAATGACCTTTGAGATCCATTTTTGTGAATATGGCGCTAAAACCAGCGGCTGAAACCGTCGCAGGGGAACCAAACTCAGCTACTTTTAGTGGTGACGGAGCTTCATTTCGGTGGTCCTCGTGCCAGGCGGCAGCACAATCGATTTCATTCTCTGCCTCTTTTCCCCCTTGTCTAGAAGTGCATCACCTGATATCAGCCATAACAATTTCCAACAGTTTCGCTTTTGCTGGGTTTCGCGGCATTTCGCTACATTTTAATCCTCGTCTAGAATAGTCGCACAGGCTGTGTCGCATGTCGTAAGTAATAATGTCGCAGGAAAAGTTGTCGCATGTCGTAAGAGTGTCGCTAAGTAGATATCTACAACAGTCGCAAGAATTGTTTGCGACAGTCAGAAAATAGAATGTTAAAATGTAAGGTTTTTAAACATTCTTCATTAACCGTGCACTCCTCCAAACCATGATCGACCGACAAAGATTATTACTCTTACACTTTCTGCAACTCTGCTCTCAATTTTTGAACTTAATATTATTATATCATCAATTGCTCGGTGAATCAAACAGAAGATGGCGGGTGCGACCAGTAAATAGTGAAGAAAAACGGTGTTCCAAAGGGTTTCATGTAACCTGAAAAAAATACGAAGGAAATATACAAAAAAATACACATGAATGTACAACAGTCAGCTATATATAAATATGGCATGAACTAGCATACGCAAATCATTTCGGCGCCGAATTTCCTGTGCTGTGATTGGCTGATATCATGCGACATGCTTGTCGCAGTCGCAGAAAGTTAAAGTTGGCTCAACTCTGTACGACAAGAGCTCTTGCGACTGCGACAAGCTTAAGACCGGAAACAGTGTTTGTACAACATTCTTATACGACATACGACACGATCTGTGCGACTATTGTAGAAAAGGCTTTATGAGTTTTCTTCTGGTTTTAAAGTGTATTTTTGTGTATATGTATAGTTTTGTGCTGAGATGTGTGTAAAGCCAGCGGCACACGATGCTTTTTTGTCTGCTGGATTTCTTGAATGCTGGCTGCTGTGCTGGCTAAAGCAAGAGCAAAAGCAAGTGTGGTGATGTATGATGCAGTGCGAATGTTTTTATATGTAAAAAAACTTTTTAAATGTATTGTGTGAATGAATGTGTGTACATTTAGAGTTATGTTATTATATGTAAGGAGCATATATATATATATCGTTATTTGTATTATTGTATATTGTCTGTTATATTATTTATATTATAATATATTTTTATTATATTTTTGTATTTTGTATGTAAATGTGTGTGTGCATTTTAAACAAAAAAAATGATGCTATCAGCATATATAGTATATATAGCATATATACCATATATGCTGATAGCATCATTTAAAATGCATACACAACGCTCACAAAATATAATAAAAATATAATGATATAAATAATATACCATAAAAAATATACAATAAATAATACAAATAAAAATATATGTATACTCTTTACATATAATAACGTAACTTGAAATGTACACACACATTTACACAATACATTCACAATGGTGTTTTAAATATAAAAACATCCACACTATACATATACACTGCACCATATATCACCGCACTTGCTCTGTTACACACATATTTCAGCACAACACTATACACATAAAAATACACTTAAAATATAGAAAAAATGTGATTATCGTTACAATAATAAAAACTATGTTGTTATAAATAAAAATGTTAAAATTTATGAAATTAAGTTATTTTTTTTTGTGAAGTTTCTGAGCAATTAGTAAATTTAACCGTTACTTCTATTATATAAAATTACAGAAAAATAGTTTATATAACAAAATGCTTTTTATTTATGTATTAAATAAAAACATTTTTTTGTATAACTATTTTTTAAAGTAACTTTATATAATAGAAATAAGGTTAAATTTAATAATTGCTCAGAAATTTATAATTCATTTTACCTACATACGCGCAAGCGATTTAAACGCGGCGCCGGTACTCCCACTACTTTTTTTAGTTCGCAAAAAATGTGGTCCTTGCCGTAGACGGCGCTGAAAACTGTCCCCACTTTTTTTAAGAGTGAGTTAGTCCCCCCTGAACCGTCGTAAGAAACTATAATAGGATGGCCGCTCTCAGTCTTCTCTCTGCCCCAGTGTTGCTAGATCGGGCCGGCCAGCACCAAGAGCACCGAGGTGGTGGGGGCAGCACACAGCGAGAACCGCTGTCCGTGTGCGTGACGTCACACTCGGCTGTTCGGCTCGTGGAAGAGCGCAGACATACTATGTGTTCTGCCTCGCTTCCACCAAGCCCGCTACGCGAGCAAGACACTGAGGCTAGAAAGCAATGTTTCGTTGCGCGCTTGTAGCGTATGACAATATGAC